AATTACCTGCAGTACACAGTCAGCTCTGCTTGGCTCTTTGCTCAACATTATTCTACATTTTACATGAATTGTCCCAGGGGAAATTTTGGTTATAGTACACAACAAAAATGCACATGAACGCAGCTTTACGCAAAGATATACAGGTAGTGAAAAAACACAGAATCACATAAAAACATGTTCAAAGGACACACACAACTCAAGCACTTGCAGACTCTTGCAAACAAAAAATGAATGAATTTGTGAATCACCAAGGACAAGAACAATACAGTTAAAAATATATTATCTCCTCTGAAGGATAACTCAGTAAAGGTGTCATATGTATTAGTTATGGCAATTCTCCATCTCCTGCACCCTTCATATGGATCCTTTGCACTCTGCTCCCTCGATCATGAAATGAAGTAGTGCTACACTGGATTTAAAAGAAAGAAAAACAGGTGATTTCATTTATCATGCCTGATGCTGAGCCCTTACACACCCACATGTAATGTATGTGCCCACTGATAATGTATTCCTCCTAATCTCACTGTGTTTCCAGCCATAGCACAGCTGCCTCTGCGACAACAAAATTACCAAACATCAATCCTTGTCTTCTGCACTCATGCCGTGCATGACTGATACACACAAATAGAGCTTACGGAGCTCTGCAATGTAAGAGAACGATGGTGTGTGTTTAGTAACTGTTCAATGTGTGGTTACCTGTGAGTTTTGGTGCACCAGCAGACACTCGTCCAAGTGGGCAAGAGTTCGATCCACAGACTTTCGAACCCGTTTACGAGAGGTGTTGCTCTGCCACGTCTCTCCGTCTGCCATGCTCTGGTACCAGTCTGGCCGCACGGTCTTCTGGAGAGCCATGAACTTGGCCACAGTCAGCTCTATCCGCCCACCGCTGCCCCACACTGACACCGTCTAATAACGACCGGGGGGAGCAAATTTTTACTTGTTTCAGTGAAAACAGCAGCTTTGGCTTCATTTAAACTAAGACTGGAGTTTTTGAAGTCTGACACCCTCCCAGACAAAGGTGAGATGACTACAACACCCCCAACATTAACCCTCCCCGAGCCCCTTTGCAGACCTAGTGATGTCAGTAAATATACTGTAGTGCAACATGGAAACGTTAACATTAATTTTGTCACTCCTATTACTCTTCTTTGTCTTACACCAATTTACAGAATAATCATGCTTTTAGTTTTGTAACTACACTTCCTATCATTTGGGGGCTTTTGGAGGATGTGAGCATTAAGCATAATGTTGCCAAGAATTCAGTAAGCTAGCTGTGGGCTACAACTTGAGCTCTGTGTTTTCAGACTATATGCGTTTACATTTTGCCAAATTAGCAGCATTAAAAGGCATGCTGAATTAACTATTAGGAATTCCTGATTGAAATGTAGCCATGGATGTACAGACAACTATCACAGGATTGCCTTGATACTGAGGAAAACTGAATAATTTGATAATGCTTAGGGAAGTTCTTAATTTATAAGGAGAGGGTTTTTCTGTTATTTTCTGTTAATTTATGGACATTTACTTGCAATGAACAATCAGAGATAATGATATCCTCAGACAGTGTAAGTCATTCGAAATCTTATCTTTCTTCCTGAGAGTTATGTGAGAAGATTGATACCAATCTCTTAGACGGGACAAGTGACTCCCTGCTTGGTTGCAAGTCAAAGAATAGCGTTACACCTAACCCCCTGTAAAACCACAACTTCTTTCCCACTTCAGTTTGGAGGCTGGAGGATTTTGTTACCTTTTGTCACCAGGTTCGCTGTTTCCCCCTGTTTCCAGTCTTTATGCTAAGCAACAGTAAGTTAAGTGGCTAGTTACATATTTACCATACAGCTATGAGAGTGGTGTCAGTCTTCTCATCTAACTCTCAGCAAAAACGCTAATAAGTGGAATCCTAAATTGTTGAACTATTGCTTTGGGCAAAATCCCAATCTCACCTTGTTAGTGGTATAACCCGGCGGGCAGGGGGCCGCAGGGTCGTGAAGCGAGCAGTACAACACAGTATCATGAAGACCTGCAGAGAATAAAACCCAAAATCAACACGTATCACTCACAGAGAACAAAACCTGGCAGAGAGATCCAGTCAGCAAAGGCCAAACACAAAGCAAGGTGACGGAGTGAGATGTGTCATCACTACATGTTTTTGTAACAACTGTGAGTCTGGAGAGACGAGATGAGGTGTGGCCTTATCAGCAAACCCAGCTGCTGCACAAGATCAAAATGAGAGAAAACAAAAGGCCTAATAGCAGCAAATGCGGTTATTATTTATTTTTAATTATCCAATCACTACTTTCCCCTTCTGGCACTTTAGAGACAACACTGTAGTAATCCCCTGACAGTTACCAAGTGACGCTATAGTGATTACATTTCTAATTTCAAATTTGGTTACCTGAGGCAGGGTAAAGCTTAGTATCACATCTCCTGTTGTACAACACAGCCGAATGAGGTCACTCTTCTGGGGCATTTATATAAATATTAGTCAGGCTCATGCAGTTAATCAGCTTTTCAATATTGAACTCAACATACTGTATATTTAGAAGCACTGCAATTTTCTCCAGTTTTTCCAATTTAGCCAATGGAAATAATGTTCGTAGACTCTGGGCTCTTCAGAGTGAATGTGTGCATCGTGCATGCATGACATTTACGTCAATCAAATAGTCACACCAGTACAGGATTTTGAGCCTGGCAGAGGTTCCTCTGATGTGGTTGTTATTTGAAAATGATTAATGCAGAGGGTTAAATGACAACCACAGTGGAGCAGAACAGGAACAACAGTAATTCAAAACAGTTAAACAACCCAACCCTTTCCTCCTCTCAAGTATCCTAATCTTTGCCTTGGAGAAGAGCTGTTCAAATCGCACTTTACTTGTTGTTCTGACAGTGTGAAAGACAGATGTGTATTCAACGATTACCAAAAGTAGTTCAATCAAAGGCTGAACACAACACATTTCAACTGCAATAGTTTTCATCAGAGACCTATCGAACGGTCAATTAAAGAGAAGAGAAAAAAAGTGTGAAATGTGTGGGTGTATTCACAAACTGCTGCGAGGGATTTTTTTTATAACACTTTTTCATTTCCAAAATCACAACTTGATATATGTGCTAATATAGATCACAATCCAACAAGTTTTCTCTTTTAAACACAATAAAACATGTTCATAAAAACACTGTGTTTTTCTACTCTTGTCAAGTGTTGTTGATGAGGTCAAGAAGGAACTTCCAATCAAAACATAAAAAATCTATTATAGGTCCCATATTGTAGAAAGTGAGATTTCCAGGGGCACCAGAGTAGTTCTCCTGGTTAAGTGCCTACTGGGCTTGTCTGAGCCTGAAATTTGCTATATTTTTAGCCTATCTCTACTAAGGACTCTTACATGTTGTTTCAAGTTAGAATTGATTATGGGTTATAAATATTGTTTTGTTACAAATGAAAGACAATGTTTAGACACTTCTGAATGGTTTTTAATACGCCTACTTAGATTGACATTGTAAATGAGGCTATATTGCACTGATATCAATACAACCCTTCATGATTTTCAGTTAGTTACAAAGTTTCTAATCTTTAATCACTGCTGAATAAATCTAAATACTTTGCACTGGGTGTCACCATAACTGTCTAATCCAAGCTGCTTGCTCAGCTTGATACACGAATCCTCTCCACTTACTGTATGTCTATTCCTGATTACTCTATGAAGAGGAAAAGACGTAAAAACAAAATGTGACTGAAGTACCTGCAAACTTCTTGAATCCATCCTTAAATTCCTCCAACACCTCCTGGTGTTCTGCTCTAGAGGGAAAATGATTGAGATGCAAGTTAGATCTCAGGAAAAGTTCAGTGTGTGTGTGTGTGTGTATGTGTGTGTGTAAGTGTATGAGTGAGATTAACTTACATATTGGACAGAGTGACCTGAGTGACAGAGGAGAGGTTGCTCAGGGTGTGCAGCGTGTCCTGAGTGAGGTGGGGGACTGTGCCAAAGTGTGTGTACAGCAGACACCCCGGGACCTCCAAGGAATGCTGTCCTGTCCTGCCGAGTCCCTTCAAGACACCCAGCCGACTTTTTCCCTGAACCACCCGGGACAGCTCCAGTTTAATCCTGCTGCCAGCCATACGAGCAGCTGCAGTTAAAATGGGTCACTATTGTAGCTACAGACTGTAGTAAAAGAGCACGTGAATTAGCGACGTAGCTAACTAGCCTTTCACTCACGTGTTACGACTTCATGCAAACGTTCATCGAGTTGAGATGTTTATTGCTGTTAAATGGCGCAATTTAAGGAAACCCAGCGGTGCTGGTTTTAACTATATACCTTTTTAGTTTAAGGGCATCTCTAGTTTTACCATTAAAACACACAGCCCGACAGGAACTACAGGTCGCGGAAATACGTCGTCATCACCGGCTACAGCGATACGTAGAAAAGTACAAAATAGCGTCGCGTGTCCTTTTTCTAACAAAACACTCATACGTGGTAATATGCTATATAAACAAACATGACTTGAAAGTGTTTCTGCTCGATACTTTAATCTTTATTTCATATTTTCCTTTACCGTTTAAACTGTTTTTTGCTTTATTTGTGAAGGCGAACGCAGTTGTTATGGTTACCGGAGAGACGCCTGATCTACAAACAACGTTATTGGGACCTGTAGTCCTGAAATGCTTCGTTCGTGCGACAATTTCCCAAGAAAGACGGTTCAGCTACTACATTACCCACAATCTTGTGCCATCCAAAGTGATTGCAGTTGTGTATACAGTTTTGCCGTGTCGCTTTTTAGTAACTCCCGAAACACTTTGTGAATGTACGTTTAAAATAGTAGGCCTTTATGGTTGGCGTATGCTGTTAGTAATAGATACTGTAATGATTGTTAGGAACAGATTATAATATCGGAGTTATATATAACTATAATGACATTCCCAAATCATAATCCGCACCTGTTTAGGTGGAGGAGCCTCGGCAAGAGTAAAGCATCTGCAGTCACGGTAAGTTTATCCTTCCGATTGATGCTAAACCGAGAGGTCTACACAGATATTAAACTATGGCTGCCTATTCTTGATAATAAGTCCAAGGTGCTGCTCACCTCAGCGCTCAAAAGGGAAAACATAAAATATTTTCACTTTTCAGACCATTTCCTCAGGATTATCAAGTTCCCGAGAGTAGTAAAACAGAATGATGAAAAGTGCCCTATTGGAGTTATGAATGAAGAGGACGCACATCACTGTTAATACCATATGGACTCATGGCTTGTTTCAGGGGGCAGTCTAGAAATGTCATACAGAATGCCTTTCTTAGATAATCACATGCCTGCAGGGAGACAGAGAGAGACAGAGATAGCTGAATCACTGCTCATAAAGCACAGACTTTTGGATGACTGGGAAATGATTTTGAGGTAATCTGCTGATTTAAGGCAATGGCTAAGCTCACCTGGGAAATAATCCGCAGACATCAGACATTGGCTCAGCCCTCAATTTGCAAACTACGCCTGCAGTAAGGTCTCTGAGCTTGTCTAGGTATTTTCAAGCAGGCAAAGGTGACCATGAGACCAGCATTTCCACATGAGCTCTCTTACTAACAGTATCTTACATTTACATTACTTACACTTAAATTATTTTCTTTCAATAACAGAAGCATGTGCAGAATGGCGATATTGATCAATGGAGGAAGGTGAGAATAACATGTGTGTTGGTGCACCCTGAAAGGGTTGGTATCCTTTCACTTACAACAGAAAAAACACAATCTTCTCTGACATAAGTTGTAACTGACTAAAGTAATTGGCATCCATTATTCTCTATTCCATATTAAATAGAACAGACAAGTGGCTTTTGGTTTTTGATGTAATATAGTTTAAATAATACTCGTCAATGCCATTTTCATTGTTTCAAAATAGCATGGAAAAAACCCAGGGACCCTTAACTATATTATCATTGAGGTGTAAGCATACCAACACTTGCATGGGTGATGCAAGTTTTTGTATCATTGTAAATTGAACATGTTTTGGTTATTGGACGGCGTCTATTTGTCCATTTTCCTCTCCTCAGCGAGTGGAGATGGCTTCCGAGTTTGCTGTATCTCAAGTCTTCTCCCACAAGAAACCTCATTCAGGAACCAGCAGCCTAGCTGTACCGTTGCGAAGCACTGAGCAGTTAAAAGATCATGATGACGCTTACAGTGAAGGTAGGTCAGCCAGTAAAAAATAAATAAAATGAATAGAGGCCTCTCTAGAGAAGTAATAGAGAGTTAAGCCTGTGCAGCATCAGGTTGAACAATGACATTTGGGTTGTAAATCCTTGCAGCTCAGGCTCTTCTTGGTGATTGGCTGAGCAGTAAGTTGCGGTTGGAGCTAGAGATGGAGGAGGAAGATGATCTAATGTGCTCCGCTGAGAGGAGAAGCCCTGCTGCACCGGCTAGTTCTCAGCCTACCACCCTGAACTACAACAACTTTGATGGTAAGAAAATTGCGTTACCAGCAAACCTGAGGCTCATTACTGTAACCAATTCAAATTGACTGTGTTGGCTAAAATGGGAATCAGGATGTTTACATTCAACATCAATAGCCATAATGTACCGGTAATAGGATTCATGGAGAAGATAAAGATTATAGTTAAAGGCTCTACTTGAAAGGTTAGAGCAGAGCACCAGTAAAGGAATAAGTCACCCCAAAGATTATCTCATTATCTTGGCACACTGACTCCGGGCTCAGTTGAGGTTTGCAGGACTACCAACACACAGTGAGTTAGACCTGTAACTCCAACCCTCCAAACCTCCAACCCAGATAATTTCAACATTGTATCAACATTTCAACACATGCATTTTCATTTTTGAATGACCCACTCCCTTGAGGTTCAATTAAATTAAACATACGACACCACCTACCATGTACTTACAGCTACTGTCATTTACTTGATGGAGTTGAAGATGATACCAGTGCTTTTTCACTTTTTAAATCATTAACTACTAATCATTTACGTATACTTTACATCACTGCCTTCAAAGAAATGTAAGACTTTAAGAGTTGACTGCAAAAACTGCAGTTTTTTTAAACCAAGAGGCTACCAGTTTTTTTCTTTTCGCAATGTCCTGTCTCTTCCTATTTTGGGTTTCATATTCTTTCAACATAACCTATGAATGCAATGATTTTCAGCAAGTAACTTCCAAATGTTTTAAAAACAATTCATTATTTTAACTGCAATACAATAGAGTTGAAAACACAATATATATAATAGCCAGGGCTAATTAAATGATTACTGTAATAGATTACCAAACATAAGAGCGTGTGTAGTCTTTGCACATTGATTTTCACATCACAGTGAAATGAACTGAAACCAGTGACTGCCTGGAGAGAAGCAAATCAATCTAAAAACTTGTTTTGCAAAGCAGTCAGCAGTGCATTTCAAGTACAAATGATTTCAAGTTTATTGGATAAAATATATAAAATCATCCACACAGTCCTTTAAAAACTTTAAAACAAAGGTGATATAATACTTTTTCATGCTCACTTGTGCAAATATACTTAGAGCTCTACAACCGCCTGGCTGAGGAAGAAGAGCACAGTGCTGTTAACAGCTTCCTACAAGACCTGATGGAGCAAGAGGTGTTGGACTCGGGGATGATGGAGGAGCTGGCGCTGGATGTTGGACAAACAAGGAAGAAGTTCAGAGACCCGATCATCACCATGGAAGCACGACACCAGCAGGTATGTGACCAAAGACATGTGAATACTGTTGTTTGGAAAACTGTCACTGTGAATAGTGCTGAACGAATCAGCTGGAACGATGGGCACACAAGTTGTGTTCTCAATTACACTAATTGATCTACTGATTGCCACCAAAGGTGCGACAGAATAGGGCCCAGCGTGAAGCTGAGAGGCAGCAGCAGCAGAGAGAGAAGGAGGCTTGGCGGGGTGCCAGGCAGGAGGCGAAGAAGAGGGAGCGAGAGGAGGAGACGAGGAAGAAGCAGGAGGCACGTAGGCAGGAGGAGATGGTACAGCAGGAGATGGTGCGACTGCGACGACAGATGGAGGAGAGGAGAGGCCTGGAACAGCTGGTTAGACAGAGGTATGGTCTCCACAGCAAACGATGACCTCTGCTGAAGGGGTTACAACAATCCTCCTCCACCTTTTTATAGTGGGTAGAATGGATCAATGGTAACTTGTTGACAAGTAAGCCTGTGAAAGTGTCCCTGCGGAGGGTACATAAGCCCCTGGCTAGCATGATGACACTGTTGTGTAACCATCTCTCACTATGTGTATATTTACTGGCCAAGATCTCCTTGTCTCACAACTGTAAGTAGTAACTTTTACATCCTGCGTTGAAAGTGAGCAAAGGTTGCCAAATAAATGAGACCTTCAGATTTATAATGTTGCAACTAAGAATCATATTAATAATGATATTTTTTCATTTAGATGCAACAAGATTGAGTGGGAAGTTGAATGGTGCTAAAGTACTTCAAAACTAGCATCCCTCTTGGAGAAATAATGGGAGAGGTGGATGTGGGTACACTGGATTATAAGTGGCGATGACGTCCAAAGTGCCTGTAAATTAAAAACTATTTGCTATGCAATGCAAACTGACATGAAGATATTACACAAAGAAAAATATTCTCAAATTTGGATTAACAAAACTGTAGCTATACTAGCATGCTAACATGTTGACATTTGGCAGGTGTAACGTTCACCATCTTAATTTGGTGTGTTAGCATGCTAACATTTCCTAACTGGCACTAAACACACAGTACAGCTGAAACTGATGGAAATATCATTAGTTTTGAAAGTATTTTGCAAGTATCTGATCATAAACCTCATTTGACAAATTAAAATGTTTTAGGTTTATATGTTAAGTATGAAATAAAAATTGATTATTCTTTGCCCCATGGTTTCTGGGATTGTTGGAATGTGAAAAGACTGGTTTAAAATTCACTTTGTAGTTTTTAAGACACAAATTTTGAGTCATCATTCAAGGTACTGTTATTGATGAATTGTTATTTTTATATTATGGCCATAAAAAGGTTTGTAGCTACAAGTTTGGAGGGAACTAGAGTTATATTATCTGAAAACTAAATATACGTTTGGAATCAAAATGAAGAAAATGGGTATATTTCAGTGAGTTAGTGAGTTGTAATGTACAGTCTCTATTTTTACAGAAAAAGAACTTAAAATTCACACATTTTCAGTGTAATGTTTGGGAATATCTGTATTTGTCTTGGGGCCCTGGTGAGTTAAGTAGTTGCTGTATGTTTATTCCACAGGGAAAGGGAGAGAGTGGAAGAGCAGAGGGCAGCCAGGAGCCTCCAGTCAGCTCCAACGCTTCCTTCAAAACAGCATCAGCAGGACACAGTGCGACTGTTTAAAGAACAGAAAATTCAAACCATGGGTCACATAAGCAACCTCAAGGTTGGTATTTGTACCATGTGTGCGTGAGTCTATTTGCAGTTTGGTAAAGGAAATGTAACAACGTTCACAGTACCTTATGCGCCTACATTTGTGTGAATCTTTTAGTGTTTGCAGAGGCATTTCTCTGGCTGGTATTCAGTCGTGTTGGACCGTAGGCTACGTATGGGTAAGGCCATGGCCCTCTGTGACTGGAAGAGGCAACTGAGAGCATGGCGAGCATGGCGAACCGTGGTGTGGGCAGAACAAAAGCAGCGAGAGGTGAAAAGAACAGAGGAAGACCTGCGAACTGAAAACAGGCAAGAGCAGAGGAAAATAAATGTTGAAAGGTCCTGTTGACCTGTCATTGTATGAATCCTGCCTTTTACCACAAATCATACAATGTAAATTACTACCTATGTCTCTTTAGGACACTCACTTATAAATAAAAATATATCCTGTTACCCTGACCAAGCAACAATTGACATTAAAGAATAAAATCATTTTTTCAACAAATCTGTTACCTGCTCCAGACAATGCCAGCTGGCTGTGGAGAGTGACCGAAGGCGGTTGCTGCGGCGATGTCTGAATGAGTGGCAGCTATGGTGTCGGATGGAGAGGGAACAACGAGAGCTTTTGGCCCAGCAGCAGGAAACCCGCCGCAGGATGGCCGCTTTAATCAATGTTGCATCAACAGGCAAACTGAAGGCCACAGAAACCCCCGCTTCTCAGCCAGTAATGGCCCCACCTGAGGCATCTGACCAACCAGAGACCACAGAGAAGGTGAGAGGTGCACTCACTGAATTCCTCATATCATCACAAGTTTTACAAGTGACTCAAGGTGAGTGAAGTCATGACTTAAACATCAGGTCTATTATCAGGTGATGCTAAATGTCTAATTACTGAGGCAATAAACAAGTTTGGGAACTAAACTGAACAAAACAATTTTGTCTTTGCATGAGATGACCTGAACTTTTTTCAGCACATCAGCCAGGGAGAAAAACTTTCCTGCTGAAATATTCACAACTCTTGAGAGTGAGAGAGCAGGAAAAGAAGGCGCAGTGTAAATATAGAGGAGGCAATAGAGCAGATGGAAAAAAGAGAGAAATAAGAAAATAAGCGATGTAGGACAGTGGAACAGAGCTTGAGGGACACAGGAAACGGAGCAGGAGTTGCAGGAATTCATGAGAGGTCAATAAAGAGGCCGTACTTGCTGCTTGTATACCAGGATATATAGATAAAATTGCCCTGAGATGGGTATTGAAGCCTAACACTGGATCTGTGCTACCCCCTAAGCACCTGGTAAACCTAGGCCGAAGGTCAGTCTTTGATTTAGTCATGTATAATTTAATATCTTCCTCTGTGTTCTATTTTATTCACTGTAGGAAGATCACCACAGGTCGAGAACTTTAGCCCCTGACCCCCCTGCAGTACATCAGGATAAGACGCATGTGGGTTCAGTGGCCCGGCCCACTCAGCCGTGGCAGGTGACCCGAAGGCACGTGGCACTGACTGCTGCAGAGCTCCACGATGCGCGGCAGGGAGGTGAGGGAGGTGGCTTCACCTGTTCAAAAAGCACAGTGTCACCTGGCAGCAGGTTTGAGAACAGACACGCCGCCCAGCAGCAGATCATCACACAGCAACGGAGGCTGTTGAAGGAGCAGCAAGAGAAAATTGCACAGCTGAAAGAGGAGCAGAGCATGATGGGTTTGGAGCAGGAGATAAAGAAAAATGCACAGCTCTCACAGCTATCAACAGGAGGAGGCTCGAGACCAAAGAGCAACAACTGTGACCGCACAGAGCAGAGGTAATGTAAGGCATCCAGGCTCTGGGTGTGAGTGTATCGTATTCAAAGCCACACGGGTTTAAATTAACTCACTTGTATCTGTGTGCACAGTCTCCTGAATGTTGAAAGTAATTTGCAGCAACAATAATTAATGCTTCACACTCTGTCCTTGGCCTTGGAAACAGCAGTTGACAAAACAACCTCACCTTAAGGTCCATTTGGTAGCTGTTCTGGAGCTCTCAATCATACCACACAGTCTTCATCAGTGGATGGATTCTGCCCAGCTGTCACGGAAATGGAAATGTTAAAATATCCATTTTTCTAGACTTCCTATTCATTTTGGACGACAGTATGGAGAAATTAGTTATTTGACAATAATTTAGAGAAGATGAGAATGTGAGATTTCTTGTACTGTGAACTTTACTCTTGTAATTATTATAAACTGTTCTGTATATTTTAGTCAAACTTGAAAATGTGTTTGAAAAGACACTGTCGAACATTAGGCTACTATTTAAAATTTAAGAATTTAAAATTTGGCCACAGTGTGTATGAAAGTAGATTTATAGTCATAATGAATCTTTGGCCACCTGATCCTTGTATGTTTACTCTTACAGTGAAATACAGTGAACACAAATACAAAAAATAATGCCATAGTAAAAGGTTAGAAATTATGTAGATAAATATGTATTTGTAGTTCTGCTGTGGGCCACCCCATATAAAGGGAGGTTAAACTGTGTGTCAATGGGAGATTTTAAAGGAGATGTTAAAGATCTGTAGGCAGGAGTTAGTGCAAAAACGTGGCATTTATTAAGACAAATATTAAGGAAACAGCAACAAAATTCAACAGAATGAACTTTAACTGAATCAAAAAGCACAAAATATGCATCCTCACAACAAAGTTTCACAAACTCTGTCTTTTAAATTGTCACATCATTCATAGACACATTTTTATAGATGCTTTTTCCTAAATATGTATTTTTTAGACTTTTCCCTTTCCACTTTTTTTTCTCATAAATAATAGAATTATTTTCAAGCCCTTTTATACCATTGACCAGTTACTTTCTCAGCTGTACCTAACTGAAATATACCAGCTGTCAGGAAAGTATAGGGTGAGATAGACAGAGGTAGGTGGGTAGAAGCATTAAAATAGTACAGTACACCAAAACATCAATGATTTAAGATTTCTCAGTTGCTACCAACAATCATACACACGCTCTCCAGAAATGTACCAATTTTAAATGTAACCCTAACCATTTACTACAAAACAGTTTCACCCTTCTTCCCACAACCTAACAGTGCTCTGTCCCTCACTGTTACGAGGACCTGGTTATGCACCAACATCACAGAGGCAGAGCGACAACAGGAGAAAAACATTATGCACACCAGACGCTAAGGAAAAGGGAGAGAACCGGCCTTTTCACATGATCGAACATTGCGTTTTGTGCCTTTTCTGCTGTTTAGAATTATGTAGTCAATCGAACGAGTACAGTATGTGTATATACAGTATGTAAGTGGAAGCCTGGTCTGCTATTCAGCCGTTTCTCACTGCAAACCTCTTGACAGTGCATTATAAGTTAGAAAGTCTCACTAACTCCACAGTCCCCAAATGTGCTATTAGCTCTAAAACTCTGTCAGGGTGATGAATAATCACCTAGCTCACTTCTCTCTCTACAGTGGAGAATAATGGCAGAACAAGTTTGCAGGTTTTTGTCTGTGGTCACCTCAGTGGGTTGAAAGGGTTTTTTTTTGTTTTGTTTTTTACACAACTAATACCCTTATCCGTTATTAGCTTTTCTTGTTAAATAGTCACACAGGATTAGATACAAAGAAGCAGATCAATTACAGAAGAATCTTGTACATTCAGGGCTTATATAATTATATATTTATGTAACAAAAGATGAAATATGTTTTCAAAGAAGTCTAGATCCTTGGACAGAGTTTCGAAATGTCCTTACGAGTATAAGCAAAAGAAGTTCTGCACTTCACTGAAATTCATTTAGATTTTACAGACAATCTGATGCATGTCGGCTGAGTTTGCCCTCAGTCGATGTCTGTCTGAATAAAAAGGATCAAGAAGATGTGAGTGAACAGACAGAGAGATGACGGGTCTTTGTTTTTTTGCTGCTAGACCGTGATTGTTACTGTTGCAGGGCACTCAGACTTACCGGAGAACCTGACAGTCAGTCTACACCTCTGAGGAAAGCTGTCACACACCAGACATGCCCCCATCCAATCATCACGGGTCAGTCTGCAAGTTCCTTCACTCTATAAGATTAATAGCTTACACACTCAAACTCACATATACATAGAAACATACATAGCAGGTGCATCAATCATCCAATTGTGGCTCCTCTATCAAGAAAATTGGATAACCTTGAGTCACACATGTAGATATAAAAGCCTTATAGGTGTATAGTCCTTCAACAATAACACTGCTTACCTTAACATCTGGTTATGTGTTAAGAATATTAAGAGTGAGGCATACATAAACATGCACATGCCACACACTCCTGAGACTATTGTAGAAGAATACCTTGTGCTCCAGTGACCCCTCTCCTCCCTCTCCTCCCTCTCTGTGAAGCCATGGAGGCCCGCGCACGTCAACGCACAGAGCGAAGAAAGGAAATCGAGGAGCTCAAGAGAAAGAAGGAGGAGGAAAAGCTGGTGAGAGATTGGGAAGTCCTGTTCTGGATCACCAAACTGCTTTGTAAGACTGTAGCAGGCAGTAATTGTCTGACACCGTGTTAAAAAAAAAAAAAAAACCAACAAATTTAACCAAAGAACCCAACTTTTCCAGGCTGAGATGAAAGCCGCTGAGGAGCTGAGACAGAGGGAGGAGGAGGAGGACAGACGCAAAGCTGCAGAAAAGAGGAAGGAGGAGAAAAGGCTGCAAAGAGAGGTGGGATGTGTTTCATATTTTATGGACATTCACAAAAATATGAGGCAGAATACGTGAAGCAGTCTGAGCAGACGACTGCTTCATGTATTCTGATTCATATTTTTGAGTCAGTGACTGAGTAGGACAGCACTCTTTTGACACCTTGCAGAATATTAAAACAATGTCACCTTCGTTGTGTGCGCAGAGGGAAGAGGAAAAACAGAGGCAACTGAAAAGGCAACAGGAGCTCCTAAAACTGGCCCGTCAGCACTACCACAGAACCTTGTTGCTACGGAGAGGCCTGGCACCATGGAAACGCCTCATTCAGCTCGGACAAGCCAACATACAGGTAAATCACCTGTCGTGTCCACTGCAGCAGCACACAGAGTATTTCCCCTGAGAAACTCAACCCGCCCGCAGTCCTCCAACTCAACTTATTATGAACCCAGAAGGTGCTCTTGACTTCGAAGAGCATACTGAAAATCTTATTTAAACTGAAAACTGTGCAAGGAAGGCTTAAGGCGTTTCATCATCACACATTCTTGGAACAGAATTACAATAAGCAAAGGCAAAAAAAAAAAATTGACATCCAGAGGTAAATGTGGCATAAAAACCCCCAGTCCAGGTACATGTCATGAATTTGAATAATAGAAAGCTTCCCTGGACATAGACTTGCTTTGAAAAAGAGCACATATAACACTGCATTAGCATCTGCTATCTGGTATTAAGGCAATATGTTCGTAGGCTTCGGTCTATTAAAGGCTTTTTGTAATTCAAATCTTCACAATCTTCACAATCTATTTGTGTATTTTGCCTTTACTGTCAATCATGTATGTATTTATTTAATTTTTGTATTCATTATCCTTGTTATTAGGAATATTTTTCTTTTAATGATCATTTAATTTCATCAATATCTGTCTGTTGGTGCTCTAAACATCCCTGGTTGTGAAGCACATTGTTAGTTTGATGGTCAGAAGTGCTATATAAAGTTCATTATTATCATTATCATTATTATTATTATAATAAAGTACCACAAACCACATGCTGTGTATCCACAGGCAACACACTCTAACACATTTAATAGAATGATAATTGTGAGCAATGAGCCAAATGTTTTGGGAAAAATACTCACTCTATAGCAAAATTAAACACCTCAAGCCAAAGATGAAGCTACAATACACACAAATACCCACCACATCTTTCCAGCTGCATCCCCTCAACAATATTGTCATTTCATCTTCTGAACATTGCCTTTGCACGGCATCACAGAAACTGCATAAAACCTTGTGCATACATGTTTCAAAGCAGGATATAAACCTTGTTTTTGCTCTTCATCATTTCATATTACCCCATTATTTCTACCTGGCACATATGACTGAATGTGGACGCATTCATCAGTGTGCATCTGCGCTTTTCTTTTCAATCCCCGCCAGCTGGCCCAGAGTCATCACAATCTCTTCCTCCTGAGGCGGTGCACGCTAGGCTGGCAGCAATCAGCAAGAGAGTCCCTGTCTGAGAGAGAAGCTTCTGCTGACCAACTGCACCAGCACTTTGTGCTTCGGAGGAGCTTAAGCTGCTGGAAAAGAGTGCGTACACACACACACACACACACACACACACACACACACACACACACACACACAGTTGCTCAGTCAGGACTCCAGTCTCCTCATCATCTGCCAGTGACTTACAGCAACACCTTTTTATAATCTCCTATTCCACTCAGTTATGTTTTCAGATACCCAGTCTTTACTTAATGTTTTGTTGTGATTTTAACTGCTGAGAGATGTGTTGAACGACAATTTGCAGCATTTTCCAGCTTTGAGTAAGGCAGGTAAATCATTTGCATTTTACTACATGTAAGTGCATTTATAATATCCTTATCTCTAAGTGAGTGTTGTCTGGTTCAGCTGAAGGACTGGCGAATGATTCAGGAGGAGCGGGCTGAGCGTTTCTACCGCACACACACTCTGAAGAGGTTTCTGCTGGCACTGCTGGACCATGTGACCCAGGAGAGGCTGGTGGAGTGGGACCGTCAGGAGCTGGCTCAGGAGCATAGTAACAGGTCTGCTACCCGTGACTTTGCCATATGTTCACTGTATGGATGCTGCAGTGTGTTCACCCGGTAACCCTACCAACTAACTGGGTGTGATATTAAATTTAACAGCTTGTAAAAACTTTAATTACAAGTTGGAATGTAATATCAGACCGATGCACCGGGAAACTGCAATGCTTTGAAGGCCTTTAAGACATAAACGTTAATTTTAATGTGAAGATTTTCTAACGCCTATTTTTACGAAAGGTTGAAGACTTTAAAGACCTATAATAACCGTGAGCCTGATTTATAAGTACTGCAGATTATGACAAAGGCTGGACACTGGAACAGGCATTACATAAGCAGTTGTTGGACATTTAACAATATGAAATATGAGAGCCTTGCTGGTGCATTGGCTCATTTCTTGTCCTTTTTTTTTACTATAAGTGCCTGTGCATTTGATTAAAAATTACACCATCTTCTCCTTGACTTCAGTAAAGTGCATATCTGCTGTTAGCTGTAACTGTCTTTGTATTATGATTAATGGAGTCAGTTTTGCTGCTCAGGTAGAAACCTCAATATGGCCAAATTAGTTTGCATAGCAGAGTGGTTCTGGACTCAGTGTTCCTGACCTCAGGTAACAATGTACTGTATTTCCAGTAATAATTCTCTTCCAGGCCATCGCATACCCAATGAATTTAGTGACTACAAGTAATACATGGTTCTAACAACAATAGGAGTCTGTTGCTATGCTATCAGCTTTGTGAGGCTGTATTTATGCACAGTGGTGCTTCGTGCTAAATGCTAACTTCAGCACGCTAACATCCTCACAATAACAATGCTAAAATGCGGAGCTTTAGCAAGGATAAGGTTTACAATGTCCGCCAGCTTAGTTTGGTGTAATAGCATGCTAACATTTGCAAATTAGCACTAAATGCAAAGTATAACAAAGGCTGATGCCAGCGTCATTAGTTCTGCAAGGAAACGTTTCGAAAAAAACCAGAGTACTGGAAAAACTGAAATTTTGACCTGAAGATGGCGCCAGATGAAAAATAAGGAGATCAACAAAGTCATTAGGATTTGTCCACCAAGGATCTTGAATATCTGTAGAAAAGTTCATAGCGATCATCCAAAAGTTGTTAATCCAAATCCCAAATGTCAACCTCAGACTAGATGAAAAGTCAGAGGATTCTTCACTGCGATCCATCTCATAGATGTTGAGATATTTCAGTCTGGAGCAGAGTGGTTGACTGACAAGCTAAAAAAATTGGTAACTCTTTAGAACTTTTCTAATTTGCATTGAAACTGTTTTTTTTTGTAATGTTTCTTTTCTGCAGAATATTAATTTAAAATCAACAATTACTTGTGCTTATATTATGCTTAACGCTACTATGTGGTGTTGTTTCCCATTGTGGGCAAAATTAATAATTAGCTGTAGCATTGGTCTAACTTAATGATTTGACTGCCTTTGCCACACAATGTGAATGTTGATGAACTTCAGCTTCTAAGGTGAGGTTGGCTAAATGACCACAGCCTGCAGATGAATTCCCACCGGCTGCCCAGCTGCCATCATGTGAAAGCTCATTAGGTGTTGTAATCTCAGAGGTCCACATAATTCAGTTTCTTATTGCTCACTTGCTCTGTTCCCGTCTGTCCCTCCATCTGCCTGCACTTTAGACGGGTGTTCCAGCGATGTTTCCTGGCCTGGAGGCAGCTTCCACGTCTGCTGCGCAAGGAAAGAGAGAGGGAGGAGCGGCGGGAGAAGCTGGGACGGAAAGTGACTGAGGTTCTGCCCGATTTCTGCTCCCATCCACTGTAAAGCCTCTGGGAGAAAGTGTCACTGTAGGAGAAACCGCATACCCACAGATGACACACAAACATTCAATAACTGCAGAGGATTCACACTCACACAAACAGAAAGGAAAATGAATAGAAAATGAATAGAAATGCACATTTCTCACATTCATTTAATATAAATAAATACAATTCATTTCATACAAACACACAACTGGGCCAATACAATTAAGAAAAAGAAAGAACTTTCAGTCCCTCTGACGACTAAAGAGCTGCGATAGTACATTACTGAGTATTGATTTATTTGCTGTTTTCAGGAGTCAGTCTGAACCACCTCAAAAGAGTGAAAGTAACTTTTAATATATTCACAACTGCAATCTGTCATTATGTTTAATGCGATGACAGGCTGACTATCTGGCTTGTGCTGAGAGGTTTCATTTGCCTGTGCTAAAATATCCGTGACTCATTTCACGAGGTCAAGGAGGGTCTTCCCCTTTGTAAACGCTGCAGTTTAGTGTTTGTGGAGGATGGAGGAGGAGGAGTGTGCAGAGACCATCCATGAAATGTTTTGGGCAGGACTGACCAGCTCCAGAGGCATCATTATGCTGCTGTGCTCAAAGACAATGTCCCTATGAGGATCAGCAGATCACTCATTCTCACATTTTTCGTTTGTTGGCTCCCACCAAGGCACTGGAATGTAAAGGAAACATAAAGACAATGCTCAAGTCAAAGGAAGACATCCAGTGTGAAGGAAACAGGGATATTTGTTTGGCAGAAAGACTGATGAGAAGTGGAATGAGGCAGCAGTGGAAGGAGATTAAAAGTTCAGTGTGTGTGTGTGTGTGTGTGTGTGTGGATATAGCTGCATGCCAGCTGTCAGTGACATTAATGGCGATGAAAGTATCTTATTGGAGCTTGTAGTTGTTATTGCTATGTGATAAAGTCAGCGTAACTCAGGTGGCAGCTCAATTTCTGCAGTAAGCCAGTGATAACATTCCTGGCAGATCTCGGGTCTGCTTCCAACAGAAGGCGGCCAAGGAAGTTAATCAGGGATAGAGGAGCCATGCTGCCATCCAGTGAACAGGAACAGAACAGCAGCCATAATCCTCCCAAACTCATTTGTTAAAAAGCAGGCTTCATAACAGTCTCTTACACCAGGTCTGTTGGGGCGGGAGAGGGAGGATTCAGTTTGTCTCCCATGGTCATGAACTCGGCCCAGTTGCCACGGAAGCCTCGAGAGTAGACACCGGTGTCCACGACGAGTCCCCAGTAGGCGCTGCGAGCCGTTTTGTCTCGCAAAGCGATGCGTGCTTCGCGCTCGGTCACGTTGTAGCTGACGTTGATGACCTGCACCAGCAGCAGGTGAAGCAGCCCAACAGTCACGATGCTGCTGTACCAGGCACAGGTGAAGCAAAGTGCAGTGCTGGAAGGCAGACAAGGAGCAAAGATGGTAAATCCTGCTGCAAGATAACAATAAATCACCATACAGACAACAAGCACCAAACATACATGTATTTGCATGGTTATTACTCTTCGTATAAAGTAAGGCTCTAACTTGTTTTGGTTTTTTTTTAGAGGTAAAATATATTTCCACCACTTGCTTTTAATCACTACTATCCCATTGTTTAAAAAAATGGGACACTAAAAGGTAATTTAACCATTGTTTAATACCATATTTATCTATTATTTTTAATATAAAACTGTACAGTTATAAAATAGTCTGTGACCAGTTTAAAAAAAGAAGTGGATATATATTTTTTTCTTTACATACTTAGGACATGATAGCTGCTCAGAGTCTGAGGTTGAGATGGATGCTATCAAGACCTATTTTAAGTGTGCGACGCCTACACAAGTGCCAGAGCACATCATTTAAACGACTTCACATCCACTCTCTCACTGCTCTGAGCACAAAACAGCGAGTCCTTCTCCAACAGCTCGACAGGAAACTCTCCAAGATGCGCTGTGAAACTAATTCAACACTACAGTGAAAGAAGCCTCGTGTCCAATGAGCAAGAACCTCACACAAACTAATTTAAATGTCAGTCTTTGTGGTGAATTCTGGGAAAGATGTCAAATTGCCCCCCAGCGGTTAAAAATAGTTTCAGTGGCTATAAAATGAAGACAGTTTTGCTTTTGATTGCTGCTAAAAGGCCATCTGCCACTTCCTGATTCCATGGGTTCCATCTGAACTATAACGCCCTCATGCACTTATTCCTGTTAGTTACTGAGTTTGTCTTTGTGCAGTTATGGTTTGTTTAAATTTCTGCACTGGTCCTTTTATGGTTGTGGCAGTTCTTTTTACATTTTTAAGGAAACTTGAGATCAATATCAATGTGAATATTAATATTTAAAGGAATTGTTTGATATTTTGGGCAATATGCTTATTTATGTTTTTTCTGCAAGTTAGATGAGAAAATGAACAGCACTCGCATGCCGATACCGACTGGAAATCTCAGATGATGATATATCAAGCCAATATTTATTTTTAATATAAAAAGACAACTTAAACAAAGATTCTATATATCTGGTTAATAAAGAATAGTGACAACGATGTGTACCAAGCATGACTACTGCAAACACACAGTATCTTTGGATCTGCGCTACAATTTCTTGTCACCTTTTGTGTGATATGTACACCAATACCTATATATCTGTGATCAATTTATATTGGTCAGATAAAAATTTACTCATTGACATAATTTCTCTCATCTATTCATTGATTCATTCTTAGTGTCCTGAGAAGTTATGGGCTAAATGAAACACACCATTTTCAATCAAGACTTTCAAATAGAGTAATTTGAAAGATGTTATGATCAAACAATTTTACACAATTGGTCTTTGATAAACACTGAATTTTTGTCATTCCTTTCATCTACTGATCTCAAGATGAATTTAGGTAAATAGTAACTCTAAGAGAATATGATGGTATAGTCACAGAGCCAACCTTGTGTGTATAAAGTGTACGTCTGTGTTTCCAGTACCTGTACTGGTTGTAGACCCCCGGGCAATACAGAAGGGCGGTGAGGAGGTGTTGTCTCGGACACACACTCTGCAGCACCAGGCTGATCCCGTACAGAGACGTCAATAGGAAGAGGACGAGTGTAAGCAGGAAGCTGCGGTGATTGGACTGCCCCACACAGCTGTTTATCCTACCTCGGCAGCGACGGACGGGATACATGCACAAACACACACACACACACACAGAGGCAGACAGAACATCGTACTGAGACCCCAGGGATACACTACACATAGACATGCAGGAACACACAAAGAAGTGTAGGAGTGGATGGCAGCAAGGAAATGTTTTTACACTTATAGCTTTAATTACTGTGTGTGATGGTCGCCCCAACGTACAAATATGGTCAATGAAGACACAGGAAACTCAGTTTGCGTTCATTACGTATCCTGAAAAAAAGTCACCTAAGAGCTTTGTTTTGAAAACTAAATGGATGTTTGCACTTTTTAACATTTATTAAATAGAGGTTGTGTAGAAAAGACAAACAGACAAACAAACTAGACGACGGCAGGGTTTGAGATGTGAGACAAAGTGGAAGAAACACGATGACAGGCCGAGTGAGAGGGGACCCACCAGACACAGTGGTGGTCGAGACGCAGAACGCAGACGCCACAGATCCGACAATGTCCCGCCCTTGGGGGCCGCACCACCCTGCACACTGGACACCAGTTCTTTCGGCTGCTTTCCTTCAGCTCCAGCCCCGACTGCGCCGACGATCCCGCCCGGTTGAGTACTGTCATCGTCACTTCCTGCGTCCCCCCATTGACGGCGGGGTCTCTGTCTGCGAGAGGGCTGTAATAAGTCACCGTGCTGTGGACGAGCTTTTGGTTTGGCAGCACAATGCCAGGTTCTCTCTTAGTGTAGACAAGAGCTAACAGGGTGAAGATGACCCCTGCAGTTACCACCAATAGCTGGACCAGGCCGATATCGCCGCGGGGAAGCACCTCTGTGATGAACAAGTAGTACATGTAAGCCAGGGAGAAGAGGGCCAGGCTGAGGAAGAAGAGTGTCCGTCCCTTCTTGCGGTGGGTGATGTAGTAGTACCACAGCACCAGGCCGGGCAGAGCTGTCAGCACCACAATGCCAAGCAGGAAGTGGAGAGCAGCGAGGTGCAGCAGCACAGGAAGGAGAATGAGAGGCGGGATGACGGACAGGTCCACTTTGCGGGCTCCGCCCCACAGCCAGGGCACACGAATCCGGTCGGTGACAACTTCTGTCACCTGTGATAGGGACTCAGGTTTCTGAGGCTCCCTCTTCAGAAACCTGACAGAGTTTAAAAATTGAACAAATAAAAAAGGTAAAATAATTTCACCATATGAGCAAACTTTAACCCCATTAACTTCTTTTTAAGAACAAATGTCAACGATACAGCTGATATTTTAACATGTCGCAGCAGGGAGAACACAAGTGTGATCAGTAACACTCATTCTACATTGCATTAATAACAGAGCCCTGGTTCATTAATATTATTAGTAATAACTATGTTTTCCTTGCAATTATAAGTTAAAACATCTGCTGTGATAGAGGACTATTTTTGTTTTCATGATACAGCCCAGGATAAAAATACTGTGAATTTTTAAGTTTGGTTAAAGTTGTATAGCTTAAACTGGACAACATAAGCTGCTCTATGTTGTACTGCATGTATGTAACAGGCCTGAATGAAGCAGTTTCAGTATCTGAGTTGGATTTTTACTGTTTTCTGACATTTTTTTATAAACTTCTAATTAATCAATTAATAGCCTAAAACAAATAACCAACAGATCCATCATTAGTTATTGGGTTAACTCTCTCTCACCTGTCGCAAGCGTCATCGAGGTCCTCGCAGTCGCAGCAGCAGGCTGCTACATGGCTGCGCTCTCCGTGTCTGTTCACATACTCGCAGCAGCACAAGGTCTCCTCCTCCTCCTCCTCTTGCACCTTGTTGGCTCTCTTCTTCATGACGGACAGCCTGGCAACCTATCAGATGTTAAAAAAAAGTTTATCAGAACTATCATTTACTGAGCTTGTTTAGGGGTTTGTGTTATAAATGAGAAAGACGGTTCAAAAACAGGAAAAGTGGCAGATGAGAGACGGAGGGAAAATACAATAACTGAAAAGTCCTCTAAAAGCTCACTTTGCTGAAATGACCTGTGTATACAGCAGCTTATGAGCTATTTGCATGCTTTTTAGATGGTGGAGTGGTTCCAAACAGATTTCCACCATGCAACACTGCAAAGCAGACCGTGCTCATTTGATCCTATCCAGTCCACCTCCTACCCTCACATCTGTCACACATCTGTCATGCTTTAATGATTTACAGTAAGTGAACGCTCTCACTCCTGCAGCTTGCGGGCTTGTTTCGACAGTGAGGCAGTGGCAACGTTTACAACAGTCGTAGGTCTCCAGGGCCTCCGTCACAGAAAGCAAGACTGACAATTCTCCAGTTAACCACAAAGTGGGGTTAATCCTTCAGCTCAATTAAACCTCTCTGGGGGAGGATCTGGCTCTGATGAGGAGGCCTGAATGAGCCTCTTATTAGCAACAAATCAAAGCATGATATGTTTTTAATACTAGTCAGCCACTCATCAAATTAATAAGGTAAAAAGGCCGTACAGTGGCAAATAAAAGTAAGTGAACTCTTTGGAATTACCTGGTTTTCTGCATTAAGTGGTCATAAAATGGGATCTGATCATCTATGTTCTAAGTGTAGACAAATAATGAGCTGAAGCTAATATTACACAAACAGTTATGATCTTTCGTGTCTTTATTGAACACACCCATCAACTGAACCTCCTTTGGCAGCAATAACCTCAAACAAGTGCTGGTCAGACCTGCACAATGTTCAGGAGGAATTTTGGACCATTCCTCCTGCAGAACTGCTTCAGCTCAGACATATTCCCGGGATGTCTGGTGTGAGCGGATCTCTTCATGTCATTCCACAGCATCTCTGCTGGATTCAGGTCTATGGTCGGGACTGGGCCACTTCACAAGATGGGTTTTCTTTGCCTGAAGTTCTGTAGTAGATTTACTTTGATGTTTAGGGTCATTGTCCTGCTGCATCGGCTAGATTCTACTGAGCGTCAGCAGGTGAACAGCCACTCGGACATAATCCGGTAAAGTACCTTGATAAACTTGGGAATTTCCCCCTTGAGGAAGTGGAGCTGTCCAGGCCCTGAGGCAGCCAAGCCCCAAATTCATGATGCTCCATCCACCCTACTTGTTGATATGCAGTTACCTTTTATAAAAAGGTAATGAAGTTAAGTATTTATTAAAAAAAAATATATATATATATATATATATATATATGGATAAGAAAAAACATGAACCACAAGCACATTAAGTCACCCCCTCCCAAACAAATGGGCTAATGTAAACATCTTACATTGAATAATAATAATAATTGTGTGTGTGTGAGTGTGTGTGAGAGAGAGAGAGAGAGAGAGAGAGAGAGAGAGAGA